AGCTTATTAAGGATAATTTTAAACGTTATTTAAGGTTTCACACATATTTTTTATAAAAAAATCGGTCCGGTCTAAAACCGGTTTTAAAGGGTTTTGGACCGGATCGGACCGAAGACCGGAAAAATGAATTTTAAGACCCGAAGACCGGACCGATTAATTCGGTCTGGTCCGGTCCGGGTTCGGTCCGGGGTGGTCCGGTCCATTTTTTTGGTCCGGACCGATTTATGAACAACCCTAATAATAATAATGATAATAATAATAATTAATAATAATAATAATAATTGATTTTTTATGATAAAATTAATATTTAAAGATAATAACTAATATTTAAAGATAATAATGATTATTAATTTTTAATAATAATAAAAATAATAATTAAATAAAATTTAATAATAATAATTATTATTATAATAATAAGAAAAATTAGCTTAAAATAATACCAATTATTACTGGTGTGTGCAAAATAATACAACCTCAACTATTTGCTATCAACAGTACAACCTTGTGTATTATATGTGCAAAATGGTACGCCAACCATCAAAGAAGACATTTTAAGGAATATACTGTTCATATTCAATATTATTATTATTTTATTATTATTTTTTTAATATAAAAGTATTTATTTCAAAATACATTTTATGTTAATAGTTTCATCCAACCCAAATAAATAATACTCCACCCCTTTTGTTAGGCTAGTAAATTAATTTCTCCAAATTAAAGAAATTTTTGTAACTGACAAACAAAAGTAAATAAGGTATTTAAATGCATATTATGATATAATTAGTTTCAACAAATGTATTAAAAACCAAACTTAATACTTGTATTATATTTCCTTTGGTTTTTATACTTACAACACACCTTTTTACATGCTAAGCAATTTGAAAAAATGATTAGACTATGTAAGCGTACAAATTATGCTATAAGTTTTAATCATAGCAACTTATTAACACTTTCTTTTTCATTTGTTAAACATGACACTTTCTTCATATGAATTGGTGGTAAAATTTTGTTGATTTATTTGTCCATTTATCATGACTAATATCTCTCTTAAAATGTGTGTCATGTCAAAATAGTGTGTTATTGTAAATAAAAATGTAAGAATTATGTATTTTAAAAAAAAATAATTAATAATTAATAGTATAAAATAATATAATAAATATAGACGAAAGATTCCTCTAGATACCCTCTCTGATAGCTGGCGTACCATTTTGCACATATATTAAAAAAGGTGGTACCATTGAAAGCATATAATTGAGATCATATTATTTTGCACCCACCGCTAATAGTTGGGATTATTTTAAGCCAATTTTCCTAATAGTAATTAATATTAATAATAATATTTAAAATAATAATAATATTTAAAATAAAAATATTTAAAATAATAATAATAATAATATAATAATAATAATAATAATAATAATAATAATAATAATATTAAGCGAATTCAGAGGTTCTCGACAACGCAAGACATTGGAGCACGTGCTGCAGCTCATATTTTTACTAGGGTAGGATTTGCTATAGCTAGAGGAGTGGGGGCCCAGATTGTATCTCGGCTTCCCACTAATTTATTGTAGGTTATATGACTTTTTGTTTTGAGATAATAATAATAATAATAATAATAATAATAATAATAATAATAATAATAATAATAATAATAATAATAACAATAACAATAACAATAACAATAATAATAATAATAATAATAATAATAATAATAATAATAATAATAATAATAATAATAAAATCTGCTCGGTTCGGCTTGTCTTTGCTTTACTTCAATCTGCTCTGCTCTGCCCAGAAGCTCAAAAGAATAGGGCTTAATTACACTTATTATTAATCATAATAACAAGTGCCCATTGGTGTTTTAATGACATAACAAGTACTCCCTCTATGTTATAATAATCAATCGCAATACTTTTGATTAATACTATATCTGTCACCCGACTTGACTTGATTTCAAACCCATTTTACTAAGAGAGAACCCGAACCGACCCAAATGATCTGAATAGACCCGTTTTGACCTATATATCATAATTGGTAATGATCCAAGCAATCCAACCAGTTGAACCAAATGACCCAAATAACCCAAAATTTGTTCCAAACCTGACGTGTTGACCCGAATTGACAGGTCTAATCAACATATATGTCAATGCACAACTTTGGCCATTAATATTTATAATTATATATAATATAATTAAGAAATATTAAAGCTTGATTTAATGAAAATATACATATATAAATGAGAAAATAATCAAAAAATATTTTACATGACAAGATTTGACAATATTTTGCACTATTCATATGTATATTTAATGAAAATATACATATAAATAGTGCAAAATTTAAAGTGTTGATATTATTACGAAATGTAGGGAGTATCATTATCGATACTTTTAAACCTCAAGTTGATACAAAAATTGCATTGTTATGAGGTCTAAAAGTACCCAAAAATTTTGCCCTTAAACTGCCAGGTACAAATCTAAAAGTCTAAAATTAAATCACTCCTGCCCAGGCCATTACCCATCTAGGTATGTATCCACCAATCGCCACCTCATCCCCATCTCATAATTAGGGATGTCAATGGAGCGGGGCGGGCGGATGTTCGCATTTCCATCCCCATCCCCACCTAACATTTTCATCCCCATCCCCGCGGCGGGTCTAAAATTCATCCCCATCCCCGCCCCGACGGGTACAATTCCAAAACCATCCCCGCCCCACCATCTACTTGGATATCCACCCCCACCTAATCCCCGCCAAAGACCCGCCTAATCCCCACCCAATACCCACCTAACCTCCACCTTTCAAATACACAATCCTACATAATTAATATAGATTACATTTAAAAAAAAATAAACATTCTAAATATTACACATTTTTTTGTTTATAATATAAGTGTATTACAAATTATTATAATTAATATTTTATTTTACATAAATATTTTATAAAATAGTATAAAAATATAAAATTTGTTTTAAGAGATATATAAATGTGAGAATAAGGTGGGGATGGGGCGGGTACGAAGTGGGGCAGATAGGGCGAGGCGGGTACAACTTGTAATCCACCCCCGCCCCATCACCCATGGCGGGTATGGTTTTCATCCCCATCCCCGCCCCACCACCCGCCAAACCAAAACCTATCCCCGCCCAGTACTGGGGCGAGGATGGGGCAGGTCTCCTACTTGACCCGCCCCACTGACATCCCTACTCATAATGCTTATATGCGTTTATAAAAATTTTCGTACCTTTATTACAGATTAAACTTATGTCTTGTTCACTTTAGCTTAATTTTAGTTCAGTTAAGCTCCAATCAATTCAGTTCAGTCCAGCTCCAATTAGTTCAGTTTAGTTCAGCTCCTAATTTACCGCTCTCATGCATAAAATATTTATTTTATTTCAGTTTAGTTTAGTCCAGCTCCAATCAATTCAGTCAAGCTTCAATTAGTTCAGTTCAATTCAGAAATTGTGAACAGACCCTTAGGCCTTGTTCTTTTGGATGTATTTTCACTTCAATTCAATACCAATATTAATAACAACAATAACAATAATTTAGTTCATTGCAGTTAAGTTTAGGTCATTTCAGGTTAATTAGGGGTCGTTTGGTTCGCACAGAGTAATCGGAATGGAATGAACAAAGGGAAAGACAAGGAATGGAATGAAATTACCTAAAATTGTGTATGTTATTTGTTTTATAACAAAGAGAATGAGCCCCACCACCACACCACCACCACACAGCCACCTACACTTTCACTCTCCACCGTTTCCAGCCACCACCCAACCACCAAACCCCTCGCCGCTGCTCCCTCACCGTGCGCCTCCCTTCGCCGGCCGTCCCCGCCCCTCGCAAATCCTCCCTCAGCCACGAATGAAGCCTAGCCACGAATGGATCCCAGTATTTCCGTCGCTGCCAAAAATACTCAACTCTATACCAACATAATTAGATCTAGACAAACTCAATCAAAACTTCAATCATCAGAACACAACATATTAATACAACCAAATACCTCAGATCTAAAATGTTTTCGTACACTAAACATCCTAAATCAACTTTCAAATATCAAACAAACTGCAAATCATTTCAAATTCAAATAAATTCATTTGCGAGGGGCGGGGAGGGGAAGATTTGCGGGGAGAGGGGAAGGGCAGCGACGGGAAGGGGCGGGGCGGGGCTTTGGCAGGGCTAGGCGGCGGTTTAACGGCGATAGGGAGGGATGGGTGGGTGGTGGTAGTTATTTTTGCGAGGGTTGTGGTTGTTTTTGCGGGGGAGGGAAGGGCGGCGAGGATCGGGGGTGGGGCAGCGGTGGTCGGGGTAGGGTCGGTGATGGTCAGGTATGTAGGTGGGCTGGTTTCCGGTGGTGTTGGTAGGTGTAAAGGTGGTGATGTGATGGTGTTGGGGTGGCTAGGGAATGGAATGGAAATACCTAGGGGGGGGGGGTGGGGAATGGACTTAGAAGGAATTTGGGGAATGGAGGGGGTAAAGGGAATGAAAGAAAGTGCTAAACAAACATCAACAAAGGGAATCGGGCCAGTTGATTCCCATTCCCTTTTCTGAATACCCCCAACCAAACGGCCCCTTAGTTTATTTTAGTCTAGTAATTAAGACAATTCGAACTTCTTTATAAAAAAAAAAAAGACAATTCGAACTTCAATAATTTAGACTAGTGTTTAAGATAATACTCTTATGAGTAAAGTCTTGTTTAATAACATAGATGTTTCTTACCAGATTGAGAAATTTCTAAAAACACGAGTAATACTTTTTCTAACTACTCTATTGCATTAAAATGTCTTTCTCAAATTAACCTAATCGTAAGACATTAATAGATTAAGTGGATGAACTCAATTTATATGACAACATATTACATATTCCTTGACTGTGTCAAGAAGATAGACAAAGTCATTACCTGCTAAGTGAAAAAGTTGATTAAATTAACCAACTAATCTTATTATAAAACTATTCAATTAGAGAAGAAAGTTTCATGATTAATGACTAATTCTACGTACGTCTTTGATCCATAGCCTAGCTTCCCTAAATTCAATTAACTATAAAAGGCATAATTCAGCATGCAAGAATTATAACTTGTATTAGAAATTAAATCCTCACATACATTTGAGTGTAACACAATTTCATAAGAAAAAAAAAAAGAAAAGATGGAAGCTCGTTATTTTCTAGCTTACCTTACTTTCTTTGCCATGTCTTTCTATGTGGCCTACGCGACAGATCCTACTCAGTTACAAGACTTCTGTGTCGCGATGAATGATCCAAATAATGAATGTATGTTTTTATCTTGATCTATCACAAATTAATGATGTGAATTTATAATTGTTTGTACTTAACTAAACTTCATGTTGATGTTAATTGTTTAACTAATTTGCAGTGTTTGTGAACGGATTGCTATGCAAGAATCCAATGGCTGCCAAACCCGAGGATTTCTTTTTTGAAGGGCTAGACAAGCCAGGAAACACGAACAACATGGTACGTTCCAATGTGACACTAGTATCCGCATTACAACTAGCAGGGCTCAACACCCTCGGCATATCTTTGGCTAGGATCGACTATGCACCTTACGGCCTTAATCCTCCTCACACTCATCCTCGTGCAAGTGAAATCCTTACAGTCATTGAAGGAACCCTCTATGTTGGATTCGTAACTTCTAACCTTCCGAATGGAGACAACAAGTTGTTCGCAAAGGTGCTTAACAAAGGAGATGTTTTTGTTTTTCCACAAGGCCTCATTCATTTTCAATTTAACGCTGGAAAAGTTCCTGCTATTGCTATTGCTGGATTAAGCAGCCAAAACCCTGGCACGGTCACCATTGCTAAGGCGGTGTTTGGGGCTGAGCCACCTATCTCGGTTGATGTTCTAAGCAAGGCCTTTCAGCTAGATGATCACATAGTAAAGAAGCTTCAGTCTCAGTTTTGGATGAGCCCTTAATTCTTCCATGATTTTGGAGTATTAATACAAACCGTTGATTTGATATTTCAAATGTAGAACTACAAAAATCAGTATTTGTGTATCATAACCAAGTGAATAAGTGATCGATATGGTCTTGGTTTATCAATTTAATTGTGTTCTGAATGTATCTTAATATATTTTACATGTGCTATTGCACGAGATATTTCTACAATGATTTCCTATTTTATTTGTATTGTTTTATTGAATTATAATGGAAAATTTTCTCACAAATAATACAGTATAATTCAAGAACTTTCGAATTGTTTATGTCTCACAAATAATACTTTTATGTTGCAACTAAAAGTTAAGGTAGTATATAGAACTGTATAAGAAATAAATTTTAATCATCTAAAATATTTACTGGTGTTTTGTTTATATGGATTATGGAAACACACCCCTTTAAAAGTTTTCCTACTCAACTTTTGTTTTTTATTTATATCAAACACAAATCACTTTAGATGGTTTTGGGTCATGCCTTGTGCTAAGCCCACTTGCTTTGGGTGGGATAGGCCCAACCCATAAACTACATGCTGTGTCAAAAATTTTCAAAAGATCAACCCATGCACGACCCAATCCCTGAAGCCCATACGTCAATTTACCATGTCAAGCCTTATCAGGCCAGGCCTAGTGTTTCTCTCAAAAAAGGCGGCCACGGCCCAGCATGTACAACCATGAACAATGTACCATGTCCTGTATTATTTATTTATTTTTGTGCTAGTGCCATCTATATAAATCACCAATCCAATACCATTTAGGTATACTTTGTTGAGTAAAATATTATAAGTAGAAAGAATATAATTTTTTTTATAATTTATCTTGTATATTAAAGTAGAAGAGAAGGGGAAGACACATACCCAAGTTTCTAGACTTATACAAACAGATGAAACTTCAAACAGATGTCTTCTTTTGGTTACAGCCATGCTTCTGCAGAAAACAAAAAAGATGGGGGAAAAAAAGCTCTAAGCTGAACTGTTGCTATTCTTAACAATGTGATATGGACAAGATACAGGGCTTAAAAATGTAACCTATGTGTACAAAAGTAATATAAAGTGTGACAGATCTTGGAAAAAAGAAGTCACTCCTGTATCAACTTCTAAGTATTACCACCAATGACTCAGTGATACGTATTTGCGGGTCTTATTTCCCAAAGTCCTCTATCAGAGCCAATTCAAAACCTACTTTCTTCATATCATGAGCTGAAGTATGAATGGAATCAGGTTTCCAGGGTTACATGCTGGAGATTGTCTAAATCCTGATATTTTCCATGTCTTCTATCACAAGATGTTCAGAATCTAATTTCTTAGAATCTCCTGCTGGAGCTAGTTTAAACTCTGATTTCTTCATGTCTTCTACTGCAGATTGATCAGTATCTGGTTTCGTTAGTTCTTCGGTCCCAAGTTCATGTTTCTTATAGCCGTTTGGTGAAGGCTGTTCAGAAACAGAATTCTTCTTCCATTCTGTCTCTGTATGTTCAGCATCTGAACCCTTCATATTTCCTGCTGGGGATCGTTCAAATCCTAATTCCTCACAATCCAAATAATTTTTTCCATCTGATGTAGGCTCTTCGGAATTTGATTTGTTTGTTTCCTCATTGTCCACATTCTTCTTTACAACCTCAAATGGCTCAAGCTTTGAGTCAAGATTCTGAACAGCATTTGTGAAAGATCTCACACTTTGCATTCCGGCCAACCGGCCAGAAGATTCCTGCCAGAGAGGGTGAATGTTATATTTGCATGGGAAGTGAAATTTAAAAAATAAACAAGTGGATTGTATTAAATTTAATGCAGTGAACATGAGAAAGTTCTTCCCACAGGCAATGAACCTAACAGCTAAGCTCACAAACAGTCATAGTAACAAGTGAAAAGAAAACAAACATGAGAACAATTTAGCCAACAAGCAGCAGACACACAAAAGGTATGAAGTTTATAGTTTAGGTTAGGTCAGAACGATTGAAGCCAACAAGCAGCAGACACACAAAAGGTATGAAGTTTATAGTTTAGGTTAGGTCAGAACGATTGCTGCTGGCAGCCTTTAACAACAGACCTTGGTAGCTTGGTTACTCTTTGTTAACCTGTAACGTACATCTTTTCAAGCACGTTTAGGCAATCTTTAGCCTACTATAATGATCAATGAGCATGAAGTAAAACCCTTGAAGATCTAGGTGATTGTAAATTACTGAATTTGATACAATATATACTGATCTCCACGGTTGACTGAAGATAGCTAATAAGGAAAATTACGTTAGTGGCCAACAGTGGGAAAAATTCATACCTTCCCAATCATAAAATCCACATAGTTTACCAATCAGCAAGTTAAAACATAACAGAAACCTCTGCAAACTTTCCCTAAATATCCGACACTGGTTAATACTTCAATGCATTGGTTAATACTTCAATGCATGCATAGAAGGATAATAACTTCAAATACAAGCTTGAGATTCCATCTATGCTGTGTCCATGCTTCCATGTCCAATTTAACAGTGTCCCTGTGTCTGAAATTTCTAGACTTGATGTGTTAAGACACATGGATAACCTAGATGTGTTAGATGCTTGGATTTGTACCAGCACCCAACACTCGTACCACTGTATGAGTAACATATGTCGCACAAGCAACATCTTTTAAAATCTATACAAATCAGATAAAAACCCATTTGGCATAAGCGCATGTAGCCTATCCACACCCACCTCTCGGGTGTTGCCAAAGTGATAAGTGTTCATTTGGAGTTGAGATCATATTTAGGGGTGATTAATTTTCCATTTCCCACCTTATAGCATGATCAAATATGTGCAATAGTGTAAGTGAGGGGACATAGAACCATATCGCAAAGGCAGATTAATTTCATGATAAAAGCTTGCCACAAAAGTACTGCAATTAGGCAGCCAAGACCATCTTGCCAATTCTCATTGCTTTCCTAAGCAAGCTCTGTGAGCATTCACAATTGTGCTTCCACAGATAATCAAGTTATACATCCTGAAATGGTACTAACATTAGCAAGTCCATTTAGCCAAAAACACAGTAAAGATCTGAACCAGTGTTACAGAGTTATTGAGTAAGGGAAAACTCAAACTTAGACAAAACCAATCACTCTTTGTTTTGAACATTATACTTCTAACTGGAAAAGAGTCAACAATCACAAGCTGCTATAGTTTTGACAGTTGTAATTTGAGTAATCAGGGTGCATCCTGAATTATATTTTAGGAAGGGAAAATTGCCATAACAAAAGCTGCTGCTTGTGAAATGTGAAGTATATGACAATCAATGGAGATTCTCTACAGGGAAGAGAAAAATAATACTTCCTCCATTTTTTTATTATTGCACCATAGGGGTTGGGTACAAATATTTTGGTAGTGGAAAAGACTAAGAGAGAGAAAGGTAAAAATACAAAACTGCCCATGTGACATATTGATAAACTAAAAAGTAAGTGTGAAAAGGCAAGGGTATGTTGGGTATTTGTAGTGTGAATACAAATAATTTTTTTCCTAAAGAGGAAATGGTGCAATATTTGTGAAACTTCCTAATAAGGCAAGTGGTGCAATAATAAAAGAACGGGGGAAGTATTAGAGATATCGAGATTTTGAACTCACCTGTTCTATCTGGTCAGCTCGATGCGCCAAATCCTCAGCTGAAACTCCCTTGTGAAGATATTGAAGAGCATATAGCAAGTGAGAACGAATATCATCCAAAAAGTGTTCCTTGACATTACAACTAGGTACAGTAGCTTGGCATCCAATTGAGTAGAAGGGGCAGTTTACAAGCTTCATTGGACAGACAGTAATGCAATGCCTGTCCATTTCCCGTCTCATGAGGATTTCAGGGCATTTCTGCTCACAAGGAAGCATCTTGAAGGGACAGACAGAATCATGAAGTTCCATTTGAGCAGCACTGAAAGTGGCACAACATCCCTCATTTCTACACAACACAGTCCTGAAACCACAACGTGGACGATGTTGTTTAAGTTCTTCCTCAGACTTAAACTTCAAATTGCAGTGAAATTCATTCTTAAAATCGACATTCTTAAGGAGAGTTTGCGCAATAGTTTCCCTTCTATCTAACAACCAGAAGCTATTCAACTCCATTTCTTGTACAAAATCATCGATTTTGTCCTCTCTCATGTCACTAAGCAGCCACCCTGAAACCCGGGTCAATATATTCCTCTTGAGGGTAGCAAAATCTTCGATGAGGTCAGAAATTATGTCTGATGGCTGGTCAGATTTTCCCTCAGGACCCTCTTCTGAGAGGAAAGATTCTGCAACAAAGGATTCACTTCTCTCCATAAGATAATCCAACATCTCCTTTCTTATCTCAGCAGCAACAGTGCCAGGACTTTTGAATATATCTCCTGTTGTATTGTCAACACATGCAGTAGATAAACCTTCAAGTAAAACTAGAGCCATCTTGTGAACCATTTCCTTATCACAAAGTTCACAACTAAATTTTTTACCTTCCTCCTTTACATCTTCAAATTTCTCTTGTTTGAGATCAACCTCAGTGAAAGCTGTATCTGGATCCATCATCTTGAAAACAAAATTTCAACAAATATAAACCCCCTCTTACATAACAAAATATAAGAGAATATCTTGAGCTAGAACTTCGACACTGAAATGCTTCACAGCCTTTCGGACTTCAAGTCTTCAACACCAATCATAAACCAACCATCTAAAGGAAAGCAGGGGAACTGTTAAAATACGAAATAAAACGATTTTAAAGGTATTCGCACAACCAAACCACATAAGGCAGTGTCACTATTACATTATTTTTTTTTAAATGAGTTTCACCAAGATTATGTTTTTTCAAGCAAAATGAGTTGAGCATTAAAAAGTTAAGTTCAATAAAAACAAGTCGGTCCAACAATAAATGAGTCTAGTATAAGCCAATGAGGACAGAATCCTGGTACAAGTCTCAATAGACACACACACATTCGAAAGCATCTAATGAGCAAAATTTTGCAATGCTCTTAATTCAATCATTTGTAGGCAAAATTGTTCAATTATCCAATGTCATACATATGGAGTGATGAGGATTAGACATCAAAACACCGGGAAAAGGAAGATTACAACTAAAAGGATTACTCACACTATCATATCAATAGGTCGAAATTTTTCATATCAATCTGCCACTTCTTAGCTAATCAACAAATATGACCCATCAACTTTGATTATTGGCCAAAAAAACATAGAAATGACATTACAAATCATACATCAATTTCTAATGATTGATGAATTTCTTAACATATTATAAAATATTACATTACAAATCGAAGTTGACAAATAGGAAACAATCATCTTTGATCAATTTCCAAACATTTTATACATGCCAACTATATTACATTACAATTTTCGATAATACGCCGAAATATTGAATGCAAAGCGATTAAACAATTGAAATAACCAAAATTTTCAATTGCAGAAAAATAATTCAAATTAAGCAAGTTCAAACCGAAAATAATCAAAACTTACATTTCACCTAAATCTGTTATAAGAACATAATTCCACCATAATTTCAAATTGTTTCATCTTTCTTCCTGCAAAAAATTCGAAAAACAAAATTAAATTAAAATTATCACATTTTGAAAGATATAATAGGTAACAGAGATGAAATTAAAATTAAATCGCCAAACTTACAGAAATCGAAGAGAGAATCCAGAAAATGAAACCTAAATGCGGATGAAATTTGGAAAGAAAAGAGAGGTGAATGGTTGTGAATTGAACTGAGGAGAGAGAAAGTTGTAAATGGATGATCAAAGAGAGCGAAAGAAGATTAATTAATGTCTAAATTTGATTAAATGTTGACCCGTTATTTAGCTCTTTTTTTTCTTTTAGTGCTCCTCCATATTTGAGTCGAAAGTCCTTTACTTGGCCAGGCCTCAAGAAAATTGAAAAGTTTTTGGTGGGACAAAAAATGTAACAATTCACTCCGTTTCACGATAATGTTCTTTTTTGAAGACTCACGATAATGTTCTCATTTGTCATATTATGTACAGTATTCCGTATATCATCATGTTAAGCTTCAGACTAAAAAATCGTGAGGGTTAAGTTTGGTAAGGGTCCTTCTCCTTACTATAAAATAAATGTTATGTACTTTGTATATCAATAATCGATAATATATACAAAAAGACACTTCAGCAATAATATTAGAAAATAATATCTTATCAATCTACTAATTCTACTCCAACTCTAATTAGATTAATGATGTGTAACTTTTGGATTGACACCACTCAACCTCATGATTAACAGACGACTTAATAAAAATAAATAAAATGATAATATTGATGCCTTACTACAACTCACTCCTCGATTTGATATACACAAAATATTAGGTGCGGCAAGTCGCACCCAATGTTTCTTCAGTCGAGAAGTATCATCATTATCTTCTTACGACGATGAAAAACAAGTTTCCACCCGATGAGAAGTTGGTGGTGGTTACGGCGAAGGAGAGGAACGAGGTCACCCATGGCGGTAGAAAGAGAAAGTTTAATTGCTTGAGATTATTGGATTTTTCAAAAGATGCCTAAAAAATCGAATTGGGGCTCTCTTATGCGATGTATAATTGTTGAAATTGATTGTCCCATATGATTGTATGTTGAATTGTGAGCATTTTGATAACATATGCATGTATTTTGGTTGAGAAATGAGCAAGTTATGTTATACCCATGACCTTGAGTACGAGATCTTCAATGGAGGTTCTGCCATTGTTATACATATCATCAAACAAATTATACATATCTTCTATTGGCTTGATAATATCTCTATTGGCTATATAATATCATGGTTGGATGATATCCTCTATTGGCTATATGATATCATTTATGATTGTGTCTATGATATTTTTTTTATTCGCAAGATGATATCCTCTATTGGCTATATGATATTATCCATCCAAGATACCATATAGCCAATAGAGGATATCATTCAGTCAATAGAGGATATCATCTATCTAGTAGAAATATCATTCAGCTAATAAAGAATATCATATAGCCAATAAAGGATATCATCCAGTTAATAGAAGATATCATCCTTCCAATATAGGATATCATCTAGCTAATAGAAATATCATTCACTCAATAAAGGAAATCATATAGCCAATAAAGGATATCATCTAGTTAGTAGAGAATATCATCCAGCCAATAGAAATATCATCCTGTCAATAAAGGATATCATATAGCCAGTAAAGGATATCATATAATTAGTAGAGAATATCATCCAACCAATAGAAATATCATCTAACCAATAAAGAAGATCATATAACTAATAAAGGATATCATCCCGCCAATAGAGGATATTATCCCGCCAATTAAGGATATCAAAAATCCGCATTTTGTCAGTCTGGACTGACGAAATGTTTTGTTAGTTCGGATTGACACAATGCCTTCTCTTTGATATATATAGATTGTCCTATTACCAATAACTAAATGTGCTTACTAATACTTTGTATTAACAAAGGTTGGTGGTGGTGATGCATATGTCTACACTTTCGGATGTTTTCGTAGTGGTGTGGGTGGTGGTGATTTGTAAGTAAAGGGAGGTGGTGATGGTGTTGGTGAAAGTTTTTGAAGTGGAGTGAAATGGGTGTTGGTGAAAGTAATTGGAGATAGATGGTAGTAATTAAAAACAATTTTGCTAATACATAAGGGTAAGTTTGTCAATTTAATTTTATTTTATGGGCGTTATTCAGATATTTGAGGGTGGTGTTTAACAACCCCAAAAAGCTTAATAATTTATACTTACTTCCAATATTACTTTAAGTTGTTAAATTTTTCTTTATTATTTCTTTTAGATGTATTTTATTATAATAATTTGTACTTCTACTAATCCAATTTTTTTTTTTTTTAAAAAAGATATTTCTTTATTTGTAAATAATTTAAAAATCTGAACATTTGCTCGGAAATATCTAGTAAATTTACATGTAATAAAAATCCTGCACTTCCTCGATTTCAGTTGAACTGTGGTACTCATTACTCATTCTTAGGTTCTTTTCTCTTCACCTTAAAAAAATAATATTAAGTAAAAATAATTTCAGTTCAGTAAAAATAAGTTCAGTTCAGTAAAAATAATTTCAGTTCAGTAAAAATAAGTTCAGTTCAGTAAAATTCAATTTTCTTAAAGAATAATTATAATAGAAAATCAGTAAAAATAATTTCAGTTCTGTAAAAATAATTTAAGTTCAGTTCAGTAAAAATAAGTTCAGTTCAGTAAAAATAATTTCAGTTCAGCAAAATTAAGGTGAATCAAACAGGGCCTTATTTGTACTTAGAAATTGAAGATTTAATAATTTGATTGTTTGATGCATTACTGAAAAAGGATAATTTTACCATGTATAAGAATAATAACCCTACTTATGAAATTAAGGCATTAATTGATTAATTAATTATAATAATAATAATAGTTATTGTATAATTTTGAATATAATCGAGATTTTAATAGCAAAGCTGCATCTAAGGTCCTTTATTCTTTGAATACGAAGTACAATTTTGACTTTCATACAAATAATACAATCATGATATGAATACTACGTATTAAACTTGAACTAAGAAAAAGTCAAGCTGTTTCTCCCAAAAAAAAAAAAAAAAAGGTCAAGCTATCCATTTTTCCCTATATAAAGGGTACCTATTGCCGCTAAGAAAATACAAGAAACCAAATACACATTATTAAAGTTAAGCTTTTATATCCTTCTATCAAGTATCCCACACCATCTATCTTTAGCTTTCAAAATGAGAAACCTTTCACTTATCTTCCTTTTCTGCCTACTATCATCTCTTTCACATGCCATAGAACTCGACTTTTGTGTCGGGGATCCTAGTCTTCCTAGAGGACCTGAAGGATATGCTTGCAAAGATCCTGCTAAAGTCACAACTGATGATTTTGTTTACACGGGTTTCCGTGGAGAAAAAACTCCCAATAATGTTTTCGGGAATAATGTGACATTGGCATTTTCAGATGTGTTTCCAGCATTTAATGGTTTAGGCATATCTATGGCCAGGTTAGACTTTGCCATTGGAGGAGTAATCCCAGTACACTCCCATCGTACATCAGAAGTTCTTCTTTTGGTGAAAGGTACGATCATTGCAGGATTTATTGACACAAACAACACTGCTTATTATAAAAGATTAGAGGTTGGTGATGTCATGGTATTTCCACAAGCCATGCTTCACTTCCAAATCAACGTAGGTAAAACTCCAGCTACCGCATTTGTTAGTTTGAATGGAGCAAACCCAGCACTACAACTTACTCCTACCTCCTTATTCGCTGGAAATTTACCAGCTGATATAGCCCAGCAAATCACACTCTTGAGTCATGAAGAAGTAAGGCGAATGAAAAGAATTTTCGGCACAGCGTAGCAAAATTTCTTTCTCAAATTATTTCAAATTTTACTACTTCGTATAATAAATTCTAAAAGATTGTAATAAGCACGTGTATAACTAAGCATGTTTTTTCAAATTATCAATTGTGAATTTCCTGAATTGATTCGTTCTTTCTTGTTATATTGTACTCCGTATTATAATATACTTCGACACTTCGTATGTAGTTATGTACCATGAGAAATAGAAGTTATATTGTACTCGGTATTTAAAATCTTGTGATCAATAAAATTTCCTCCCATTACTTTTTGCTCTCTCTGGCTTTGTTCATCTCTCATCTTATACGTAGAGTAATTAAAGCAAAAAATAAACTTAAGTAACTTTTAATTTTTTTTTTAATTCTTAGCAATATTAATTTTTATTATTTTTTTTATTTTTTATGCAACCTAAGCAATACTTCGTATTAATTAACTTAATGCAAGAATAAGCTCTTTTAAGCAATATAAAGTTCATGTACAAAGCTGCTGTCAAAAAAAAAAAAAAAAAAAAAAAAAAAAAAAAAAAAAACAAACAAAAGTTCATGTACAACCATGCACCACCACCCCCAAGGCATTATTCAGGCGTTAGACCTTTACATGGCATTCCTGCTGTAAACCTTTATACAAAATAGACGGTACCTCACATCTCTGGCTCTCTGCAATTACGCGGGGAATGGGAGATCAAAAGGATTTAACAAAAATATAGTTAAGGAAATAAATAATTTAAAGTGTGTATTGACAAACATGAAATATTCTAAGTTAAGCATAGTTTAAGAGAGATCAATAAAAAAATTCTACTCCGTACATTAAATTAAAAATAATAATAATAATAATAATAATAATAATAATAATAATAATAATAATAATAATAATAATAATAATAATAATGCAAGTTAAACTAGCAATCAAATGAAGATTGAAAAAAAATAAAATAAAACAATACTTCTACTAACAGAACTTCCATTTGCAACTGGTTGATATTTTGTACATATAATGTGGTGTTGGTCGCCTCCACCAAGTAACCCCTCGTTGCGCCGCCCCTGATTTGATGGTGTTTTATGTGTTTTCGAGGACTCAAGGAACAAATGCCCTAGTATCAAAACTAAGCTTGTTTAGCATGGGCGCTCTTCATCTGAGTAGATCATCAATCGGTGGAGTGCATGGGTTATTCTATAGTACAATAGAAATTAAAATACCATATTTTATAGGAAATTTTGTAAAAACCTCTTTTTACAAGAAACCTCCTAATAAATTATATTTTTGCAAAGTTATACCTTAATAAACATTGTTTTTACAACGATATATCTTTGACCGAAAAGAAGATTTGACCCTATTTTCCAGCATTGACCTAACCACGTGCGAGTCATGTACCCTCTTTTCTTACATAACTATAAGGTATTCAATTGGTCGGGACAGTGATGGTGACCCCATGCAGGCGCCTACCCTCTAGCCCATTTGAGTACCTTATAGTTATATAAACTCCTAATCGGCTAATCTCCACCTCTCTGTCCCATTACCCGCCTTAAACACTCCTTCAAAAAAAGTTCTCTTAAGTAACCAATAAACTAATATAAAATATATTACCAAAAACAATTTCTTAATATTATATTATTATTTATACTAAAAAATCAAAATCTAAAGTAAAAGGTTGTATACATATAAACATAAAAAAAAAAAAAATGTTTTCAATCTCAAATGATGCTCCTCATATATAGGGATTTCAATTAAGTGGGACGGGGCAAATTTTGGGTTTCCCATTTTCATCCCCACCAAACATTGTCATCCCCACCCCCAGAAATTCCCCGCAATGGGTCCAAAAATCATTTTCATCCTCGCCCTAGCGGGTACAATCTCAAAACCATCCCACTACATCATCCACTTGAATATCCATCCTCATCTAATCCTCACCTTCCAAAGACAACTATATAATACTACATAATAATGATTTAAAAAATCACTGTTGTTATACATACAATTTTATTTGATTTATAATATAATTTTATTACAAAGTATTATACTTTTATTACATTATTTTACTTAATTTTTATATAAAATGGTATAAAAGTATATATATTTATGTAATAATATATAAGAGGCAGATATAAAGTGGGGATAGGGTGGATACAACCTAAAATTCATCCCGGCCTCATCACACATAGCGGGTATGGTTTTTATCCCCATCCCACTCCACCACCTGCCAAACCGGGACCCATTCCTGTCCCATTGGGCGGGGATGAGATGGGTCTCCTACTTGACCTGCCCCACTTATAACATCCCTAAATTACAATGAATATGATTGGTTAAAAATTTTCAATTAGGAGGATGTGATTGGTCCTTTTTTTTGCAAAGGATTGATGACATGTCATGAGTAATAACTAATCTATTTTTATACTTCCCATTGCATTATCTAATTATTGTTATTTGTCTTATTCTTTCCTCCTTAATTCCCGTGTAAATTATATCTTAACAATTATGAAAACGGTCTTGGGGTGTTAGTTAAGGATAAATCATATTGGTTGAATGATATTAAGTTAGGAATTCATGACAAAATCACGCGTCGTTCGGTGTAATTAATGTTAATTTTACTCTAATATTTGCACTTTAATTCTCTTATTATCTAACGCCTCGGGGACGCTCATTAGCTTTTGCCTTATGCAAATATGAAATGTGACAAACATTAGTGATGGAGAGAGTATAACAATAGTAATAGTAGTATTGTAACATTAGTGATGTATTGATGTAATCATAAACTTTTGAGTTGAGATGTGTTAAATACGAGTTTGGGCCGTACTCGTCACGGGAGAGTCCAAGTTCACCACTTTACAAGACCAAGGAGGTTCTATTTAGGGCTCAATAAGATGGGAATGTTGTACATTACTTAGCTTAAAGCAAATTATATGGAAGATTAATTAATTATTCTCAATACCTCATGTAAATGACCGAATACAATACATTAGTAAAGTTCCTAAGGAACACAAAAGAAAAGTTTAACTCGAAGAGATTCACCGACCATCTACAAGAGAGAAGCTGAAGGAAGTAGATGCTCAGCCTTTCTAGGCCAGGGCAGCAAGAAGGACTCTTACGAGCTCTAAACTTTATAACTTCATATTCTATAACTTCCATCAAACAAATTAAATTCGAGAATTCCGATCCCACTATTTTATTTGCTATAATAAATTAATAAAATTATAGTATAATAACAAAAAACCTTACTCCGTGATATATTTGGTTAATATATTCGGTGCTTTACTACGGATACGCCCTAGTAAAGAAAACTACAAGAAAATATTGCAAGCAATTATCATTTAACAGACCACATGCATCAACCGCTTTAATTTGGTTGGAGCTACATACCTCTTGTTTTGAGAGAAAATTTATTCAATAATTTACTACTCCTTCCGTCCCTTTATTAAAAGCTTATTTCTAATATTTATTACTCACATAATGAAAAAGAGAAATAAATTTTTAATTTAGGGACGAAAGGAGTATTTTATTTACTACTCCCGGCCCTCCGTCTTCGAAAGAACGACCCATTTGGGTTGATTTCGCGGGTATTAAGAAACCTAATTTGCAAGTGCAAATGTATGGGAAAACACAAGTCAACAATAATTTGCAATTAATACCTAGAGAGATCGTGAAATAGGGAGAATTAACTGCATGACAAAAATATTTGAGGATATATTAGTAATTTTGTGATTTTAATAGATGTTGGGAAAAACAAATGGGTCATTCTTTTTGGGACTAAAATTATGCCAAATAGGTCGTCGTCCTTTTAGGAACAGAGGGAGTAGTGAATAAAAAAATATCCCCACAGGCCACAGCTGGCTCATATAGTAATAATGTAACAAGTTATCCTAATATTTTTAATATTAACTAGTTTAATTGGTTAACTATAGAGATTTTAGGATATAATTCCTACATATTGATGCAGAGCACTTCACCATATGTAGAGTCGTAGAAGATGGACCATATCTAACTCTCTAAAACCCAAAATAAGTCGTGTTGCAATTTGTTAGTCTTGTCAACTTGACTTGGTCTTTAATACATGTAATTTAAGTAATAAAATACGAATTGTAGGCAATATTTCCGGAGCATTGAATGTGGTATTTGAAGATAATACTTAATTTAATTTATAATGAGTATCCTAAATTTATAATCAAACCAGTACAAATTAATTGATGATAATACTGTATCATTTTATTAAACTCATACATACCATTTCAACAAAGTTTAATTGAAGAAATTTTCAAGTCAATAAAACAACAACGCTGACAAATTAAAATTAGACTTTAAAAAAAAAACAGATATTCAGCCGCATCTAATCACCTCTTAAATGCAAGATACGTATTTCTTTGACTTTCATACCAAATAAAGAATATCACACCCTTTACGAATTGAACAAAACTAGCCATAGTGACTAATTGACCAAATGTTACCTCTATATAAAGGGTACCAATTGCCTCTAAGAACATACAACAAACTCATCTACAACATTAGTTATATCTACACTTCAATACTTACATTAGTATTAAGTTAACGATCTAACACCACCATACACCACCTTTCTGGCTATTTAAAGCTTACACGATGAACAATCTTTCATATATCGTCGTCTTTTGTCTCCTAGCCACTCTATCTCATGCCATAGAGCTCGACTTTTGTGTTGGGGATCCTAGTCTTCCTAAAGGACCTCAAGGATATGCTTGCAAAGATCCTGCTAAAGTCACAACTGATGATTTTGTTTACACAGGTTTCCGTGGTGAAAAAACTCCCAATAATGTTTTCGGGAATAATGTGACATTGGCATTTTCAGATGTGTTCCCAGCATTTAATGGTTTAGGCATATCTATGGCTAGGTTAGACTTTGCCGTTGGAGGAGTAATCCCAGTACACTCCCATCGTACATCTGAAGTTCTTATTTTGGTTAAAGGTTCAATTATTGCAGGTTTTATTGATACCAATAACACCGCATACTATAAAAGATTAGAGGTTGGTGATGTGATGGTATTTCCACAAGCCATGCTTCACTTTCAAATCAATGTTGGCAAAACTTCGGCTACCGCGTATGTTAGTTTGAATGGAGCAAATCCTGCACTGCAACTCACTCCTACCGCTTTATTTGCGGGGAACTTACCTGCTGATATAGCCCAACAAATCACACTCTTGAGTCGTGGAGAAGTAATGCGAATGAAGAGAATCTTCGGCACAGCCTAACAAAATTTCTTTTTCAAATTATTTCAAATTTAATTTTACTATAATAAATTCTAAAAAATTGTAATAAACAAGCTAAGTGTATTACTTGTTGTATGTATTATATATGTTAACATGTACCATGAGTCCATGAGACATAGAAGTTACTTAAAATCTTGTGATCAATAAAATTTCCTCCCTTTACTTGATACTCTCTTGCTTTTTTTTTTTTCTTTAAAGAAAAAAAGAATTGAACAAACTCTGTGGCTTTTTTTGTTTTTGTTCATCTCATCTTATACGTACTAATTCAAAAAAAATATACGGAGTATGAACTTACATCAAATGAGTTTTTTTTAATTAATATTTTTTATAATTTAAAGCAATATTAATTAACTTGATGCAAGAATAAGTTTTTTTTTAGCAATATTAAGTTCGCGTACAACCATGCAATCCCAGGCACCACCAGTCCACCACCCCAATACAACTTCAACCCATTTGTCGGGCAATATTCAGGTGTTAGACCTTTACATGCCCTTCCCGCTGAAAACCTTTATACAAAATGGATGGTGCCTCACATCTCTGCAATTAGTGTACGCGAGAAATGGAATGTAGATCGAAAGGCTTTAACAAAATTAAAAAAAATAAATAATTTAAAATGTATAGTGATAAATGTGAAACAAAAAAAAAATAAAATTTAGTTAAAAATGATAAGAGGGAGTATAGGATAACAAAGATTAACTAAAAATTATACTTTGTACATTGAATACAAAATATTTACGGATTTTTCACCATCCTCCAACCCTAAAACTCGAAAAACCCTCTATCCGCGCCCAAATCCACTCGCTGGTGATCAAACCCACCTCCCTTGCACTGTCGAACCCAAGTAACCTCTCCCTTTTCCAACTCCCCCCCCCCTCTCCCCCTCCCATTGAACCAGGCCACGCGCACCACCCCAAAATTAAAATCTAGGGTTTTAATTTTGGGTTGGTTGTTTGCAGCTAAATTGGGCGGTGTCGACATGAGGGAGGGGATGGGCCGCCGACATTGGGGTTTTGGGCATGGAGTTTTTCGGCTAAGGTGGAAGGGATACTTGGGGAGGCGTTTTAGGCGGGGAGCAGGGAGAATTTAGGTTGTTTATGGTGGTTCAAAGGAGGGACATCGGCACAGGTGCAAGGCTAGGTGAGCCACAGCAACCGGAGCGGCTGCCAGGCCCATGAACTGAGGCCTTTAAATAGTTATAAATAAATTATATCCAATTGTGATAACACATGTTTGTGTAAACCTGGTGATAAGAACTTTGTGCAGCTTAGTTCCTTGATGCCACGGGTTGAAGGCCCACAATTCAATTTATTTTTCTATTGTTTTTAATTTCTTTCTTTCTTTATTACTCGTACTTTAAACAAGACACTTATAGTTTATTGTTCTATATCAATCAAGAATTTTATATTTCTCTAATTTTTTTCTTAATTCATCAAGAAGAATAAGTTTTTCGCTAAATTGTGTTTTGAAAACACAAGTATAAAAATAAGACTAATATACAGTGTAACATATGTGCTAAATATTTTCTTCTATTCATTTTCACATTTGGTAAATTACTTTAATTTAGGAGGACATTTCATTTTCTTTGACCGATTTCCCTTAATATTGTTTGAACAAAAATAAATTCCCATTATGCTTCGTTTTAAAAACATATTCCCAAAGTAGTGTCCACGTAGAATTGGTTTTTGATTCAACTTAAAACCGCTAACGGTATTAGCGGTTTTGCAATTTTTTTAAAATAAAGTTAAAGAGACTTGTTTTTATTGAAAGGCGGTCTCTTTGAACTTATAAGAGTAATTGTCAGCGCTCTCTTTTCTTACTATAGGCTAAGAATTAACAAGGACACAAAGAGACATGTCTTATTAGGGCTGGCAAAAGCTGACCCGACCCGACAACCCGACCCGAACCCAACCCAAAATAAATGGGTTTTGAAAGAGATTTTCAACCCGTTTATGTAATTGGGTCAACCCGAACCCGACCTAAAGTTAAATGGGTCGGGTACAGGTTGGAAATCCCAACCCGAAACCAGCCCGCCTAAACCCATTTAATTAATTGGGTTGGTTTCAGGTCGGGTCAACCCGAACCTAACCCACCTAAACCTGTTAACCAGCCCTAATTTTAGTTATTTACACCCTAACTTTTTAATATGGGCTAAGCCCAAATATCTAACCACAAAAATGAAAAACCCTAAGCTTTTTTCTTTATTCACGCCGCTTCCCCAATTCCCCTCTTTCACTCATTCTCTCTCCTCTCTCTTTCTCTCTCTCTTTCATCTTTCTTCTCTCTTGTTTTCATATTTTTTTCCATGAAAATTGTTTATTAAAGCTTGTGAATCTTCATCTCAACATTGTCAAAGGTAATTTGCTTGCTAATTAATTCTCTTTACTTAAATGTTCTGTTTTTTATGCATTTTAGTTCTTCAATTTCATCTCAACATTAGTTTGTTTTTATGTGTTTACTTGTTTGCGATTTAATTTCTTCGATTAACTTTTTTAATCTGATTTAAGCTCGTTTGTTATGAGTGTGTTTTGTGCAAGCGGTTTTTTTCACCATCTGATTATGAGTGAGATTACTTGTTTTTACAACTGTTTTTTATGAGTTTATGAGTGAGATTAAGCGATTTTGTTTGATCTTTTCATCTGATTATATGATGCTAAGTCTGCATTTGGCATTTAGTATTTTGATAAAGTTAGCCTAATTATTTATCTAATTAACTAGTTTATTCTTAATTAACAGATGGTTGATACTTGATTGTCCTCTTCCTCCATAACCCGTTGAACTTGCTGATTATGAAGAATCAGATGATGAAGTTACTAATTGGCAAATATTGAATTTTTGTTATATGTATTTTAGAACTCTTGGAACTTTTTAGTGTTGTATAATTGTACTATAAACTATGCAGCAAGTGGCTTTGAATTTTCATTTTACATTTTTTATGTTGTTCAATATTTCAGGTTAATTTTTGAAAAAGAATTATATTTTTATTTTTAAAAATTACAAGATTAGTTAAAAAGATTACAGGTTAAAAAAAATAACAAGGTTAATCAATTTTTTTTTTAAAAATAAAAAAACAGGTTAAGACGGGTCGGGTTCAGGTCAACCCGCTTAAAATCAGGTCGGGTTCGGGTTGAATTTTTTGACCTGTTTAAGTAAACAGGTCAGGTTCAGGTTGGGGGGTCCTGACCTGTTTATGTAAACAGGTCGACCTGAACCCGACCCGACCCGACCTGTTTGCCAGCCCTATGTCTTATTGAAAGGCGATCTCTTTGAAATAATCTTCCTGCACACTAAGCCGTGTGAATTCACCAAGGAGCAAAGAGACCTGTTATTGTTAGAGGCAGTCTCTTTTTTAAAACCGCTAATGATAATAGCGGCTTTTAAACTACAACCGCAATTACCATTAGCGGTTTTAAGTTGAACCAAAAGCCAAAAAACGATCCTACTTGGACACTATGTAGGGAATTTATTTTAAAATCAATGTATTATGGTAATTGATTTTTATTTCAACAATATTATGGAAAATCGTTCCATTTTCTTTCTTATATTTTCAATTACAGTTGCACCCAATATATTTGGTATAAAAAAACGACATTTTCTCTCCTCCTTCCTCTTTCCAAAACCCTATCCTTCATTGTTGAATTTTGAAGAGAGTTCCATTGGTTTTAATCGATAGAAATCTCTAATTCTTGTTTCTTTAAAGTTTTCTTTAAGGTTTATAATAATGTTTCCTACTTTTGGGAGAAACTTTTCTCTCTCGAAAGAAAGGGTTTTCGATCTCCTTCGAAAGACAAGGTTTATCTCCTCGTTTCGAGGGAGAATTTTCTTAGTTTTGAATCCATGATATTAGATCTAATGGATTGTTGTGAAATTATTTCGTTGGTGAAAAAGTTAGCAAGTTTTCGAATACAGACTAATGAATTAGAAGAAAAACATACTCTTACTTACAAAGGATATCTATATTGTTTCTCCAATAAGACTGTATTTTCCAGTGATATAAGTGAGAGATGTTTCACAGTTTAAGATCTACTCGACGATCGTAGTTTTTATAAAGGAAAATTGTATTCTTAACACTGAATATATATATATATATATATATATATATATATATATATATATATATATATATATATATATATATATATATATATATATATATATATAAAAGTAATAGTACTACAACATTTTGTATCATATCTCTCATATTCAATCCACGACTCTATACGCAAAACCACAAGTTATCATGCAACTTGTTAGTCTAGGGTTTGGCTACTCGAGTAGCCTTATACGAAGTAGAAATAATAATTTCTAGCCAAGCATATTATTAAAAATTAAGTGAAATGCAGGCAAGATTTTCGGAGCACCAGAAGTTTGAATTTGGAATTTTATGGATCTAGACACACGAAAAAATATAATCATATTCTTCAATGAGTATAACCTATATAAATTCAACCCACGTAAACAATTTTTGATACTACGTATTTATTTTGAGAAACATTAATTTAAAATTATATTCAAGTCAATAAAACAATGACGGTGATATCAAATTATTGGATTAATTGACTGAAAATATCAAATTATTCCTTTGACTTTCATATATACAAAATAAACAATATCATACCCTTTCTGAACAATTGAACAAGTCAAGCCATACAAACCAAAAATGTTTCCTCTATATAAAGGGTACCAATTGCCGCTAAGAAAATGCAAGAAACCAATCTGCAATAACTTATTTAAACAAGCTTCTTAACCACTTATACTATCTTTATTTAACGACCCAACACAACCTTTCTAGCTAAAACAAGCTTGCACAATGGGCAATCTTTCAATTTTCTTTGTCTTCAGTTTCTTCGCTACTTTGTCTCATGCCATAGAGCTCGACTTCTGTGTTGGGGATCCCAGTCTTCCTAGAGGACCTCAAGGATATGCTTGCAAAGATCCTGCTAAAGTCACAATCGATGATTTTGTTTATACAGGTTTTCGTGGTGAAAAAACTCCCAATAATGTCTTCGGGAATAATGTGACATTGGCATTTTCAAATGTGTTCCCAGCATTTAATGGTTTAGGCATATCTATGGCCAGGTTAGACTTTGCTGTTGGAGGAGTAATCCCAGTACACTCCCATCGTACATCTGAAGTTCTTATTTTGGTTAAAGGTTCAATTATTGCAGGTTT